GGGTTTAAGGCTTTAGGGTTTAGGATCTTAGGTCGACAGCCGATGCGAACCCCCAAGCCCGGAAATTACAACCCAAACCCTCGATTCACACAAATCATCTCCCAAAACCGTCGAGGACTCTCGCTGACAAGCGCTAGCCACTGTACAGCCTGGTAACAAAAAATATAGATAGAAACTCACTGTTTAACCCGGAAGGCCCCTATACAATTCCTCTCAAAGTCCATGTCACTCACAAAATGCTCAAAAACGAAACGCAACAACAAAGCACCAACTAGCACTACCAAAAAAAACGCGCGCCCCTAGAACAAAATCTTCTGGGAGCGGCAGTTGGCAGGTCGAGGAGGTAGCATTCCTCTCTTCAGATTTTGGACTAGGGTTCAGGGCTTAGGGTTTAGAGTTTGGGGTTGCGGGTGTTTGGGGTTCGGGGTTAGGGTTGCCTTCAGGGTTTAGGGTGGCGCTTCGTAGTACATAGGGCGCTAAACAAGTAGACTGGAGTTTGCGGCATATGCACACGCTTGAGTTCTTCTAGTTGTACAGGGACCATTAGGGGATAATGTGTTGAATTATTCCGACCTCTGTTGACTATGGACTCTTTTGTAAGGACACCGAATATATTGAGGAAGCCTGTCTCTTTTAAAGTATATTCCCAATGTCTTTTCCGCTTTCCGCGGGGTGTTCGGGAAGGAGATCAGCTGCTTTCTGTACGGTGCAAGGGAATACCGCCGCGCCGATGTCCGCGCGGCTTTTCTCGTACACATCACCGGGATTGTAGGTTCATGGTCAAAGCATAGATCGCAGAATCAGGGCAACCCGGAACCCCTCCCCCCCCCTTGGTATTTCCCCCGAGGGTCCGCAGGCGCCACGGACACCAAAAGGGCGAAGAAGCAGCTGGTGAGGTTCACTCCAGCTGCCCCGACCAGTGCCACAGCACCTCGTCGCCGGGGGGTAGGTTTAGGCTGGTGGAATATTCTTCGTAAACCAGGGCAGGGGCTATGGGCCCTAGACCGGAAACACTAAAAACCCAAAAGTTCTGAAAACCTACATCCCGAGCGTTGCAACCCTCATGCCCTAAGCCCACTTTCACATTGAGCCGCATGCTTTCTAATGCCACAGCCTCCAAGATCTACACCAGAGGCTGCTAAGCTTGCGCACAGGACTTGTGAACTTGACACCGACTTAACTCTACCCGCTACCCGTCCAACGACTGTGTGGCTGCAGCAAGAGTCCGAAGGCACACTACCCGTATCGTTTTTTTCCAACCAACATAATGCAAAGTGCCTAAACCCTAAACCCTGAATCCTAAACCCTAAACCTCTCAACCCTAAACCCTAAAACCCCCATGTTAAAGAAACGACAGAAGCCCTGAAACTGCCCATTCGAATATTGCACACCAGTATGAGTGGTTCTCCAAATTAGGGTCCCTTTTTAGATCCCCCAAATAGCACCGTTGTAACAAGGACTCTAAACGGGACCCTAATTTAGAGAACTACCCGTACGCATGTTGGGAGGGCGGGGTAAGTTTCTGGGGCACGGTCTGCGAAATTAGAATTTGAATAGGGCGTTGCACCTTGATTTGCAGACTAGTGGCCTAAATTGAAGCAGGCTGGATTAACTAACGTTGTTTTGTTGAGCCGGGTCCAAAGAGTTACAACTCTATTTCTCGTCGACCTACAAAAGCCCCTTTTCCTCCAAGAGCGCTTTCAAGTCTAGGGTTTAGGACTTGTGTCGGGCTGAGGGTTATGGCTTAGGGATGCAGCGTTCACGATTCAGTTGGAAAGATGGGAGTCAGGGTGTCGGAATCGGAGCACAGCATTCAGGGGTTGAGTTCAGGGTTGAGGGTTTAGGGAGAATCTGCCCCAAAAACTAAACCCTAAACCCTAAACCCCAAACCCCAAACCCTAAACCCTTCATACGGTGGCTTCTTCGAGAGTTCAGTGCCTCTCAGCCGACGCAGCCCGGACTCGCGCCAGGGCATCAGGCGGGCTGACCAAAACGCAGCCAGGTCCATCCTAGACGGCCACTACTTGGTTTAGGGTTTAGAGTTTAGGGCTCAGGGTTCGGCGTACGATTAGGTTTAGAGCCTTTGGTCTGAAACGTCGGCTTCAAGGCTCACTGAGATGATCACAGGTAGCATCCTGAATCAGTGCAAACATGACTAGAACAATGATCCTTATCTTCAGGCTCCTTATAAAATCGACCGGTCCTACCAGTCGTGTCCTTGCCACGGTAGCACCTATGACTCCCACTGCTACCAAATCAATAGGTATCGCCAAGCTCATTATGACCATGTTGTCTTTTAGCATCAACATTGAAAACAGCCAGCATTTCTGTCTGTACAAACTTAACTTAACTGTCATAGCTGCCATTCATGTCACTGCTGTCGATGCCATTATCATCGTCCGTAGCTTTCCGGAAATGATGGTCCTAAAGAGATTGACAGACTCATCCTGACCGGCTCTTCTTGCGGATGGAGCGTTGAGGAGTGCAGGTTTACGGCTTAAGGCTTAAGGTTCATCCTCAGGATCATCTGAGTAGTCCGGGTAGCAACGTGAGCGTGCACAGCAGGAAGCTGGTAATGGCGGTCAGGATGTATACGGCCCAGTTCACCTCTCGCTTGCTGCACTTGCACACCGGGCTGCCTGCAATGTTGGAGCGTGTGCAGTATCCACCTTGATCCAGGCAGTGACTGGGACAGAAAGTATCGAAACCACAGCTCATGATAGAGTCCATCTGCACCACGGAGCTGGCCTGAGGTATGGCCAGCAACACGACTTTGCTGGCTAGCATATCGACCTTCCACAGGACGCTCCAGCGAAAGTGCCGATCCAGCTTCTGTTCCCACTGGAAGGAATCAGACGACAAGGCGACGGCGCTGGTAAATATTGAGAGCAGCCCGAAGCAAAGAACCACAGCCAGCAAGGTTTCCCGTGGGCTGGAGTCGGACTGCAGATACTGATACATGCACACCGCGGTACTGACGCAGGCATTCACCTAGTTTTTTGCATTAACTTCAAAGGGCCCGTTGAATCAACATGTTTGGCCCTGATCCAGAACATGCCCTACAAAACTGATTTCAGACAACCTGTAAGAACGGCCAAGTCACAACTATAATCCAGTGGCGGCCTTGCCAGCTCTTCAGGAACCTGTGCACCGTTCCGCAGATCTCGGAAGCGGCGTCGAACCCGCCGCTCCTGGACTTTGAAGTAACCAGGGAGAAAAAAGTATAGACTTGTATTTCATATTGGTTCCTTTAAGGAACAGGTCCAATAAAAAAGTATTCAAGTATGGTACTCCAGAACCCAGGCGCTGCAAGCGGCCACATGGCCAGAAGTTGCGACTGCCACGGTCCCAAGGCTCGGTGTAGAGAAGCCCTCGTGACAAAGGGCGACCTGGAGCGCTTCTTTGGACCTTTGGGTGCCACGCCGTGGTAGCGACGATCACGACGGTCTCGCTGGCCAAGACTACAACGCAGAACGACCTGCCTGAATTGCAGCTTCAAGGGCCCAAAAAATCACTCATGAATGAGCACCTCCTCCGTAAAGAACAGAAAGGAGTTCAGTAGTATCCAAAACCCAAACCCCAATGTAGAGGCCTAAATGATTGCCAATACTATTTTGGGTGGCTCCTTATGAGAATTAGATAATTAGAGTATAATGGGCCCCAAAACCCCATTCTAATTATAAGGCCCGATATTAAGCCCTTGACCCAAAAAAACAGCCCAAAAGCTCCGCAACTTGCCACCCTTGCTGCTCTCCCCTAGGTCGGGCCCAAGAAGTGTCAGCATCGGGTGCAGAGCCCGAAGATCGGCCGAGTAGTCCAGTAGAAGCATCAAGCTTATCCTCGGCTGATCTTTCAGGGTTTAGGATTTAGGGTTGAGCTTTTCTTTTTGTATCTTGACGTTATTCGTCGGTTTGTTTCTTCCTCGCCCAGGGTCGGTAGGTGATTTTATGTATCTTTCAGGGTTTGTCTGATCCTGGGCTACTCGGGATAGCTTAAGGCCTTTCGTGGGGTTTGGGGTTTCGTGTGTTGGAGTTTACGGTTGATGGCTGGTTGCAGGTCCTGAGCTATTGGAACAATCAGACTACTAACAACGAGAACAGCAATAGTAGCAATAAGAATAATGGTAATCAGAACAATAAAAAGAAGAAGAACAATAACAATGACATGAACCATAATCAGGACATAACGGAGCAATAACAGAACAAGCACAGTACCAATAATACTAACAATCGCAAGAACAATAATGAGACAAATAAACTGACAGCAAGATTAAGAGCAACCCTAAACCCTTAACCCTTAACCAAGCATGACACCCCGAGAAACATTGCTGGAGCTCCCCTGTACCGAAAGATTCCAAGAAGACTGTGGCAGGAGGTTTAGGGTTTGTAAGGGTTTACGGTTTAGGGTGTAGGGGTTGGGAGTTTAAGGGTTTCGGGTTTAGGGCTTTCGAGCACCATTGGTGCCCGAACTGTGGCCAGGGCACGATTGTTGAGGCGGGTTGCTTTTAAGGAACTTAAGTTGGGTTACCATAATGGGGATAGAAAAACTAATATACTTAATTGCAGAGTTTCCTTAACATAGGAACTTAGTTCCTTAACAGCCCACCGGAAAAGGAGGAGCAAGCAACACGCAAAACCCTAAACCCCAAACCCTAAACCGTATGTGCACCCGAGCACGATATCGGCACACGGACGCCATCCCAGAATACACGTGGCACAGTGGCAGTTTAGGGTTTAGGGTTTATCCGAAACCGCTCAGAACGCCGGGATTTCGAGAACATACGACCCTCATAGTGCGGCCCTGCCGTCGAAAGCGCGGAAGCCGCGGAACCAGCGATCCAATCCCAAGAACCCCACAATGCTATCCCACTGCTTGAGGAATTAAAGGAAACTACAGGTGGGGAGTTTAGGGTCTTTAGTGCTTCTATAAGGCTTCTACAAGGTATGGACCTTCTACAAGGCTCCCATAACAGTAACTACCCACCTGAAAATGTCCTAGAAGGAACTGCATGTAAACTCAAAGCCGATATAACCTTGAAGAAAGGCCCGGGATCGTGAGGGCGTTGCAGGCCATCCACAAGAGCGGGCCAGTGATAGCCAGCATCTCTACCAGCCCCTGCCGCCGCCACATCCAGTGCCTCGGTGGCTCTCGGAGGGCTTAGGGGCTTAGGGGTTTAGGGGTTTAGGGGTTTAGGGGCTTAGGGGCTTAGGGGTTTAGGGTTTAGGTGCTTAGGGGCTTAGGGGTTTAGGGGCTTAGAAAGTAGAACTTTTGCTCAATTCTTAAGTAATCTTGAGTATAGGCCAGACGAAACCTTAGGCGGGTCCGAGTGTACGGTTTAGGCCGTAGTAGGCTGTGAGCCCGAAGGACCACCCCCGCAAACCCTGAACCCAGAACCCTTAAACCCCTAAACTCTAGACCCCAAACCCTAAACCCTAACCCCTAAACTCTAAACCCGTAACCTCTGGACCCCTACACCCCAAGCCCGAAAACCATAAAGCCCCAAATTCCTCAACCTCCAAATCCCGAAACTTAGCGCAACCTGCTTGGAAGAAACTCCTAAATCCTTACAAAAAACATAAACGAGGCTTGGATGCTCAATGGCCAAGCCTAGAAGTGCCAAGAAGACCAGAACTGACGAGACCCAGGCAGGCCCAAGGATTCCGTCCACGGATCCTGGGAGTGTAGGGTCTTGGGGCTTAGGGCTTCGGGGGCTTAGGGTTTAGGGGCTTAGGGTTTAGGGGTTTAGGGGTTTGGGGGTTTGGGGTTGAGGGGTTTAGGGGTTTCGGGTTTAGGGTTTAGGGGTTTCGGGTTTAGGGTTTGCCGTAGAGTAGCGCAAAGGCGGAAGTATCTAGCGATAGCGTGGTCTCGGGTGTACCGTAGCGTCGCGATTAGCTGTTATAGCCCGATAGTGGAGGGCCTTCTTTCTCTCGCAACCCTGGGGGTTGAGGTTCTAACTCATTCCATGGCTTTCTTCATGTTCTTCAAGCTTTCTTCTTGAAGGCACTACGTGACAGGGCCCGGCAGAGTAAATAGAGATTAACCACTGTATGGAGCATTATTTCGGGGGGAGCATTGATTATTGCAGCTGTTCGCACAGCGGAAGAGGAGCGTCTGTGGTTCGAAATCCCTTGTCTCCGGGGAGCGAGGTTTTGGGGCGTTTGGAAGAAGAGCCGGACACCCCGACTGGGACCCCATACACCCGGACACAGCTCCCAACTGTCTACAGATTCGGGGAGCTTCTTGAGGGAATTGAGTCTCAGCGACCTAGACGCTTCAGAATCTCTTACTTAAGGAATATACCGTAAATTAGAAGGCCATCCTGACTAGGATTAAAAGTAGATGTCATAATTAATGGGTTTATGGTTCGTTTATATGAAGGAACCCTGAGGAAGAGCTTGGGGACATCTACCTTGCCAAAGCTTTCAGAGACGCAAGGGTGCACAGGCAATGGCTGGAGGCTCTTGAAACCCTTGCGTGCCCAGGCTTGGGGGTTCTACGGCTGATGGTATAAATCCTGCATTACCCTTAATTAGGAATATACCCTAAACCGCAAACCCTAAACCCGAACCCTAAACCCTAAGGGGTCTTTAAGGCAATGGAGGGTTTATATCATCAACCGTACTTTCTGCTGGTGTGACATCTGGTCCTGGGGTTGACTTTGGAGGATCAAGGGATGTGGTAAGTAGGGTGATAAACAAGTAAGCTACGAATAACCCTCCTGAAGGTACTTATAACCCGACTTCCTATGTCCCATGATCCTCCGAGTGAAGCTTGACATAGGATGCCGGTAGATCCATATGCGGGACAAGCCTCACTAGGGTCCGCCTTGAAGCAACACTTGCTAAAGTTACTGGGCCCTCTGCTTCTCCGAACAGGGTCTATAGGGTTCACAGCTCAGGGCTTCAAGCATGTAACATGCCGGTTCATTCTTCAGCAACGACAGAGCAAGGTCAAAAATGGGTCAAAAATTTGTGATGAGGCTCCGAAACCCTTCATTGACCCTCTTGACCCGCAAGCGAAACCACCAAACCCTCAACCCTCCCCCAAACCCTAAACATGTAAAACCTAAACCCGGTGAAGCCAGCAAACCCTAACACGGTTCGAAGGCTACGACAGGTACGAAGCCTCAACACTAAATCTTACACTAAATCATAGTCGCAACTAGCCCGATACCGCTCAAACGAGGAACTTGGCTACCACCACCACCACCACCACCACTACTACCACGATCACCATCCTAAATTCCTAAACCCTGAACAATGCAGTTCCCTCTCAAAAGTATGCTACACAAACGTCTGGAAACTCTTTGCAAACACGGCCTCGTAAACCTAGACAGCGCAACCTCTGTAAATCCCTTCACCTTACAAAAACCAATTGAAACAACAAAGTAAACATCAAACCCCATCAAAAGCTTATTAAACACCTTAGAAGGCTACCCGGAGCCCCACCTGCACCCCTAAACCCCAAACCCTAAACCCCAAAACCCAACATCCTACAACCCCCAAAGACCCCCAAAACCCCAAAACCCCAAACCCCAAAACTCCCCCCCAGAAAGAAAAACAAAGCCACCCAAAAAACACCAAAACAAAAAGCCAAAACCCCAAAACACCCCCAAAACACCTAGAAGGCCGGGGCTCCCCAGACCACGGGCAGAAGGGCGCCGGTCAGGGCCAGGCTCCGAAGGCCCCGAAGGCCCCAGGGCCCGAAGCGCAGCAACTTCGGCTCCAGGCCTTGGGGTTTAGGGGTCTTAGGGGGGTTTTAGGGGGTTTTAGGGGCTTTAAGGGCTTTAAAGGGTTGGGGCTTTAAGGGCTCTACGGGGTTTTAGGGGGTTTTAAGGGAATTTACGGGTTTTAAGGGGCTTTAAGGGTTTAGGGGTTAAGGGAATTTAAGGGTTTTAAGGGGTTTTAAAGGGGTTTAGGGGTTGAGGGCTCTAGGGCTTTAAGGGGTTGAGGGTTCAGGGTTTAGGGTCTGAGGCTTAGGGTCTGGGGTTTGAGGTTTAGGGTTTAGGGTTGAGGTTTAGGGTTTAGGGTTGAGGTTTGAGGGTTGAGGGTCTAGAGTCCTTTTTATGTTTCCTGAAAAAGGCAGGTTTCTTAGGGTCTAGGTCCAGGTAGGGCCTCAGCTCGTTAGGGCTTTAGGCTTGTGGGGATTAGGGGTTAGGGCTTTAGGGGTTTAGCTCGTGAGGGTTTTCGGGCTTTTGAGGTTCAGGGCTTCAGGGCTTGGGATTTTTGGGCCTTTCGAGCTTAAGCCGTACTTGAAGATCATGGACATGGTAAGTAGGGTTAGTAGCACTTTAACTAAGGGCTATAAGTAGATACAGTTATAATCACCGTATGTATAACCCTGCTTACTAAATCCCTTGCTCCTCCAAGTAGGGTTCAGGGTTTAATGGTTCAGGGATTTAGGGTTGAGGGCTCTAGGTCTGTTCGGGGGGAGGGTACTTAGGCACTGTAGGGTTCTTTGGTGGTCTTGCTGCGAATTTTTCAGAGGTCGTAAAGGGGTTTTACCAAGGTTCGATAGCTAAGGCTGCAAGCCTTTTTGGGGTGTGCTCCAGGTTGTAGGGTCCAGGGTCTAGCCTGGGATGTTTAGGGTCCAGGGTTTAGGGTTTAGGTAGGGTCTGGGTTTAACGGTTCCGGGTTGAAGGGGGGTCTAGTTAGGTGTAAGCATTGGGCTAAGCTCTTGAATTAAGGCTAGAAGTAGTTGTTAGTGATGGTAGGTTTGGGCTGGGAATGAGAGGGTTCATCACCATCACAACATCGGAATCTGTCTTCCGGAAAGCTTGAAAGCCACACAAGAACACACGCGCACACACACACAGAGATAGATA